CGCATAGAAAATTTGGTATAAATTATTAATCGATAAAAATCTATTTGTCCGACACAAAGTATGAGAAATTCATTGTGGACAAATCGATACTGTAGGTGTAAAATGTGAATATCATCACAGTAATAAAATATGAAATATTCGTATGAAGATCAAAATCACATATTAAAATATCTTCTACGAGAGTAAGAGTGAAATTTGACGCAAATATTGAAAGCATTCGTCTTTGTGAAAGCATTCGTCTTTGTGAAAGCATTCTCATAGTCTTGTCCGTTAAACGAAGAAGACTTTTATACATGCAGAAAGATATTCATTAAACTGTTCGTTCATATTCACGTACAGAGTACGTACGAAAGATTATAAATAACTAGAAAATTGGATAAATTCGAAAAAATTTATTACAATAAATATTATTCGTTACTATGTGTTATCTTTGATAATTATGCATGATTAGTGCATTCATCAAATTGATAATACAGATATATTAAATTTGATATATCTGTTAAATCTGTATTAGAACTATAAATGCAATGCGGATTTTTCTGATATTCAGATATTCTTAGTAGCCGAAATAATTATTATTCGATTACTCAAATCTGAATATCTGGATAATCCGTCTCAAAAAATTGTAAAATATCGTCGAACATAAAGTAAAATAGCTTAAGATTTTTTGCATCTTACAGCCATAATAGATCATTATATCAAATGTAAAAACTCATATAAATCTTCTTGTTCTATAAATCGGAATAAATTTCTTTTATATCGCAATTCAATAAAATAGATTTAATATACCAGCTCGACTTTCGATTCGTATATTTTTAATATAGATAGTTTAAGGATATAATCCTCTTGCACCTTCAACAAAGTGCATCATGATTTGTGTTGCAGCAAATGCGTAATCGCATATGCGCAATATATATTTATGACAAGATATAGTAATAATCTCATAAAACTCGCTATTATTTCAATAAAATTATCAAAACGCATTGTGATCATTTTTATGAAATCTTTGCAATTGTGCTTTTTGCTAAGAATTAAACTCTTTGTTTGATTTCAAGCTAGTATCCTTTCTCGGAATAGTGTTTATAATTCCTGTAAAATAAAGCTTCTACAAGCTTTAAGCTCAAAGAGCAATGTAACATACCTGATGTCCTGCTTTGTGTCTATGACGTTCTTGTTCAAGTTCTCCTGCCAGCTAACACTTCCTTTCGATCTAAAGAATGCCACATAGATTCATAACGTATGTATCACGTAAACATAATTTTATGCATATCATCAACTACATAGTTATGATACATAGTTATGGGATATCTTTATATTACAAAAAAAAAACTTAGGTAAACTAATCTTTTCACGATACCTGCTGTCATCTTTGTCACTGTCTTTATTCATTTCCCGTCGAGAACTTTCATGTATCTCTTGAAGTCGTTCTATAGTCGGAAAATAACATACAATGAAACATATTCAGTACAAAAGGCTGTTCATCTTACAAGGTAATTTATAATTTGAATAATGGACAATATTACAAAGTAAGTTTAAATCCATGTGTTGTTTGCAAATAATATTCCTTTATCAGCCATCCTATTCAAAAATTCAGGCTGCTATCTAAATTCTATTACCTGAAACAAATTGTTACCTTTGGGAACGCTTCTATCACATTGATATCGGTCGCTCTGATTGTTACCGGAAGCATGTTCGAAGAATCGGGATTCTGATTCGGAATGATGTCCTCTTTCATTACGATCGTTGTTCTCCTTCCTCTCCCCCTCGGACCTCTTATCACTCGATTGCCAATCGTGCTCCTTCCGCTTGTTATAATCCACCACTTTACGCGCGTCATAATTCGTCGCGAAGTTCTCGTAGCCCCTCGCTTTCTCGTTATATTTCTTCGAGCTCTCGTACTTGCTCATCTTATCGTTGAACTCCTTCAGATTTTGCTCGTTTTCCACCCAATTTCTAAAATCTTTTCTCGGATGCTGCTGCTGCTGCTGCTGCTGCTCGCGATTCACTACCACCGGTTTCAAGTCACCATGGCTGTAATCGAAGCACTGAACTGGTAATGGATGTTGATCTGGGATCGACGGACGAGACACATGCCCGTAATCGATCATCTTCGCCGGACTGAAAGCGATCGGTTCGATCAACTTCTTATCGATTTCGCCGTGATTATAATTAAACTGCTTAGACACGCAAAACTCTTGACCTGGCCTCATTTGAGGGCGCTTCATGAACAAATTGGAGGCGTATTTCGATTGGAAATCCTGTCCGGTCGCAGGTTCGCCGTATCGCGGTCTAAAATCACCCATCTTCGGTTCGGTCGCGGTTCTCTCCAATCTTGATCTCTCGTCGAACATACTCGGAACGTTCCTGTCGACGTTCTGCTGTCCTCCGTCGGGTCTCTGCTCGCCGCCGAACTTGTCCTTCCAAGCATCATTGGTTACGTATCTTGGATGAGGTGCTGTTTCATCTAATGTTTTTTTAAAAGGATCAAACGTACGTCTAGCGTACTCGTTAACGCCATCCTTTCGCATTTCCGCGTCGATATCCGGACAGCTTTTATTAAACTCATCCGGTTTCGGGCTCTCTTCATACCTGAATCGCTTAGCAGCGATATTGTCTTCAAGCTGTCCTCTTCTCATATAGGAGAGATTCCTACGCATGTAATCGCTGCGATTAAGAGGGTCGCTCCAAGGTGGAATATTTGTGCTGCTTGAATCGCTCATGGGGCCTCTCGCCTTGAAGTCCAACGTTCTAAACGGCCCATCGTTAGAGTCTCGGGGTTTAAATCGAGCGTCATTGAAATTCTTCAGATTTCGCGGGAGAAGAGGATCGTTTTGATCGCGCGAGCCAAGCGAAAGCGAATCGTTAGAATCGCCACGAGGGCCGAACGGCCCCTCGTTAGGTCTTCGAAAACCAAGCGATCTTTCGCCGGACAGTCCAAAGGCTTGTTCGCTACTGTCGAAGAGCGGTCTCTTATCGAACGGCGCTTCACTCGCTTTACCAAATCTGTTTGGCCCTACGGGACCGAATTGTGATTCGGTGAGACGTCGAGTACCGAAAAGTGTGTCACTGGGCGGCACTCTTTCGTCATTAGGTGCTCGCGGGCCAAATGGTCCCTCGGGTATTATCAGAGAATCAGGACGATCGTTAGCACTTCTAAGCCCGAGCATATCGTTGCCTCTGGGCGCGAACGGACCGGAATTTCGCGGCGCAAACGGCAGGTCGCTGGAGCCTCTCGGCCCGATCTGTCGATCGATGGGTCCATCCGGCATTCGTGATCCAAATCGTTCGTCCACGGGATCTCGCCGGGCAAACTGTCCACTGTTGAGAGGTCCAGGTAATTCGTCATTACGATCTCGTCCGCCATATTGCTCATCATTGGATCTTCTAGGACCTTCATTCGGCGCAGTAGGTCCGAACGGCGGTCTATCGATGAGACCTCGTTGCGAGTCCATAGGACCTTGTTGTTGGAATGTGCTCGGAGCAGGACCCTTTGGAAACGCGGAAGGATCTCTAGGACCGAACATTGGCGGAGGTCCTCGAGATTCGAACGGCGCGCCAGGTTTAAATTCCATCCCTGTGGGACCAAAAGGAGAATTGAAACGCGAATCAAACTGATTGCCAACTGATCCCTTATCCTTGAAACCCGCGTTCAGATTGAGATCCGTAGTAATAGGACACAAATTCGGCAGTTCCGGCGGTGGTTCGATGTTTAAATCTTCCGGCCGTGGGTCGTTTTCACCCATAAAGGGCAAGCTTTCCGGCTTCTTAGTAAAATTATCGTTATCGTTGCCAGAATTGTCTGTTTTTTCGACGTTGGTTTGAATCTGATCATCATCGCACTTCGTATTTTTCTGCTGCAAAGAATTATCATTGTCGGGAACCTTATTTTCTTCTTTAATGTCGTCCTTTCTTGAGTTATCTTCAGAAACAACGGGATCTTCCTGCTTAATAGTATTATCAGCCTCGCTCGCTTGCGTTGTCTCCGCACTTTTGATATCTACAATATTATTACTTTGTAGCGAAGAATCGGGATTAATACTTTCAATACTTTCAGATTGCTCAATAGGAACTTGAGATTGAATGTTGATTAGTTGCGACTGATTAGGTCTGCTTTCCAATTCTTTTCCTAATCGTTCGTTATAATCCGCAGGATGTTTGATGAAATCCGGAGGTCCTCTGAAAGGAGGCTCGTTATCGCGATTGAAAGGCTGACCTCGCGGGCCATACGAGGTGGAAACTTGACCCGAATCGGGAGGAGGATGCTAGAAAACTTAATGGTCCACTGTTCGGAAAGTTCGGCAATCCACCACGATTTGGTGCGTTTTTCTGAAAATCGAAAGAGCTTCTAAAGGGCGAATCGCCAGCGATTTTCTTGAAGCTCTCGCTGAGGGAGCTAACGCTGCTGGATTTGTCCGAATCGATAAAACTTGGTCTAAACACGTCACTGGCGGCCTTTCGTTTCTCCATAAGCTTCTTCAGCTCTGGCGGTAGATCGTTCGGTGGACTGAAGGACGGATTTCTGTTAAAACCACGAGGATTAGCGCCGAAATTATCTCGCCTATGATCAGTTCCGTCTTTCGCATCAAAGAAATCCGCGTTACTTCTGCCAAATCGATCATTCGGACGAAAGTGTTCGCTGTTCGGTGCAAACCGATCGTTATTGCCAGCGGGGAAGCGATCTTTGGGCTCGAACCGATCGATTCCCAATCCGGGACCAAATCGTTCACCACCCGACGCAAACCTCTCCGGTGCAAATCGCTCACTGTCCGCACCAAATCGATCGTTTCCAGGCACGTGATGATCCTTATCCGCCCCTAATCGATCAATTCCGGGCCTAAACCGATCGTTCTCCGGTCCGAACCATTCTTTATTGAACCGATCAGTCGCCGGACCAGGTCGATCGTTATTTGGACCAAACTGATCATTTCCCGACGGAAATCTGTCACTTCCCATCGGCCCAAATCGATTGTTTTCTCTGCCAAAGCGATCGTTTGCCGGTGGAAAACGGTCGTTACCCGAAGGGAAGTTACTCTGCGGATTCATTTGATTATTTCCAAAGTCACTAAAATTTCTGTCGCCTCTTCTGAAACGTTGTGCACTGTCAAAAGTATCGGGAGATCTAAACTGATTTTGCTCGCTCAAGTTTGGATTGCTACTGTCCCGTCCGAAGCGCTCTTGATCGTCTCTTCTAAAATTGGACTGTCCGTCAAAATTATGAGGCAGCCGATCGTTTGGATGCATAAAACTTGAAGGATCCGCCGGACCAAACGGCGGACGATCCTTCATACTTCCTGGCCCCGCTGGTCTCACATTTTGCAAATGCAAGCGATCGTTGTTAGGGAAATTTGGTGGAGGTTGCGAAAAGTTTGGCACGATGTTATTCGGCAGATTCGGCGGTGGCTGTGCGAAGTTTGGCGAGATCATTTGCGGTGGACCAGCTTCGGATGGAAGAGGCAGCAGAGACATTGTGCCTCCGGGTGCGAATCCGGGTTCCATTCTAGGGTGTTGCGGATTTATCCATTGTTGCTGATTAGACCAAGACGCGACACCGGGTCTAGACATATTCACTTGTGACACGATTTGCTGCGTTCCTTGAGTCGCGGGATGATTGCCGGCACTTGTGGTTTCCGGTGGTGGCGGAGGTGGCGGCGGCGGGGGCGGCAAAGGTGCGGCATTTTGCTTTCCCGTCAGACCCAAAGTCTTCCCGATACCCAACAGATTATTGATCAGTCGCTGATTTTCATTATTCGATAAGATATTCAATATTTTATCATCGCCAGATATGCTTTTATCCTTATCAGCTTCTGCTTTCATGGCTTGTTTCTGTTGTTCACGTTTCTTGCGCATCTGCTCGCGCCGTTCGATCAACTTCTCACGCCACGACGTCCATTTCGCTTCGTATTGCTTGTACTGAGTCTGAAAATCGAGGGTGTCAAATTGAAGAAGTTGCAACTTTAATTATTCATCTCAAATCAAGCGTTTTCCAATGACTTTAACATTGTCTTTGACACAGTTATAAAAATTCAAAATTAATTGATCCTATTTTATGCAGTGGTCACGCGTAATTCTCGAAATGTAATTGAAAACATAACATTGTAAATCACTTTTTTGTCAAATTCTGAAATACTTGAAATCGTTTATTAGTCTTTGTAAAAAAAATCAAAATCAAATTCTTTATTCTTGTATAAAAAGAGCTAATTATGCATATTATCGAATATATAAAAGTAGCATCACTTACCTTGTCCGGATGATTAGAGTTCTGCTGCTTCCACTTGTTAAATTGCTCTTCCCACTGTTGAAACTGCTCGTCAAATGTTCTCTCAGCCTCGGTCAAATCATCGTCTTCGGGTTTCAACTTTTTAGCACTATTGGATTCACTAATTACATTATTATCGCATTTGTCGGCCGAAAGAAGGTTTTCTCTATTCTCGCCAACCTCAGGTGGTAAAGGTGGCTGATTCGTAGGCAACGGTGGATTCGCAGGGTGATTTGTCGCGTTTACTTGCGGCAATGTCTTATTGGTAGATTCTTTAGAAGGGAATAACGGAAGATTATTTTGGTGTGGAGGTGGTACGTTCGCAAATTGATATGTATTTGTGGTTGCGGGGGGTAAAGGGGGTCGTACATCCTCTTTAGGCAAAGGCGGTGGCTGCACATTTGATGGCAATTGCACCTGGCCTGCCAAATTCATATTCTGCGCTGATAAATGCTTCATGGTCTGTTGATACTGAAAACAGATGTTCTATTAAGAGAAATTAGTCAATAATTTATGGCATATCTTTACGAATATAAAACATTTTTTGTACATTTAAATTGTTGAAGCTCTTGTAATATTAGCCAACAACGAATAAAGGTTTAAATTCAATGCAGAATAAATTTGTAGCAATGCATAGACGTTGCTAACGCTTTAAAATAATAATTTGTTAATATTAAATTTTTTCTTCAAAGAATGTCATATGTAATTTTCTGTATACATTTATAATTGCATTTATTCAATATGTTATACTCGTGTATATTTATATATTTTTGTACAATGTTATACCTTGTCACCGTATTGCGCTTGCCATTGTTGATACTGTTGTTGCCATTGTTGCCACTGAGTCCAGTTTTGTTGTTGTGCAGCTGCCCATTGTTCTGGTGTATATCCACTGGGTGCCTAATATAGATAAATACATGTATAATAAATAAATGTTATAAAAAATTTGTCCAAAAGATTTGTCATTAGATAAAATTGGAAAAAAACAGAGTTACAGTCTTAAAATACTTTTTATTAAAAGCTTTTTTTTATTTAGCAAGAAATTTTTCAATCTTAGTAAAAACAATAAATCTTCTGGACCTACTTTAAAACGTAGTAAGTAAAGACACAATAAATCTTTCGAAGAAATCAAATAAAACAAAATTTGCTTTGTTCAATTGTTGATTTGTCTTTATGTGGATAAACCTATATACGCTGCAAAACTTAACTAATGTCCTAATAAATCATATAATTAGAAGTTGATAAATTATACATATTACAAGTCATCTTTTTTTTTTAAATTGTACTTACTGGTTGATTATAGTATTGCATACAGCTTTGCATCAAGGATATGGGATCTGCGCCTGCTGCTGCAGCGTAGCCAACTGGCGGCTGCGGCACTGAAGTAATAGCACCAGCTGATAATTGCCATTGATTCCAGTTTTGCATTTTGCAATATCCTCTGTCAGACTAGCAAACGGCTTGCTAGTCCACTTTAAAAGCCGCAGTCCGTTCTAGGACGCTATTTTGTATTCAGAAAAAATTATATACTTTATCCATATTGTAAGCTGTAAGTGCACATGTTTTTTTTTCTAATATATTTAATTTCTTTTCTAATATATTTCTTACGCAATTATAATGTATAAAACGGCAGACGACATATAGTGAAAACAAATCGTTTGAGCTGGAGCAAACGTAATTCATTGATTATAATGTCAAAGATAAACAGCGGCGTGTCAACGCCGATGAATCTTACAATGTATATAAATATATCCTTATAAATTATGAAAAATGTGTTTATAAAAATAAAATGTACATAATTATTTTCAATGCGGCTTAAGATTCGAGATAATGTAAAATTTGATATATGTATGTAAAATACATATAAAAAAATTAGTAATGCATTAGATATGCAGTTGCATCGTAACGATGCAGTTTAAAAAATAATCAAGATGGTAATAAAACATTTCCAAATGTTATCAATGTAACATCTTTGCAATTAATCTTTGCAAATTTTTTGATTGATTATGAAGCATAATCTGACAGATAAAACCCAAACTGTCATTCAATTTGTATTCAATGTATCAAAAGAATCATGCAAGTAAAATAGCGCAGAGCAAAAAAGGAAATGCATTAGACTCTCTTCACGAGGAAGTCTGGAAATGTAGTTTGCATCTGCAATATTTGAAACAGCAAATCGACAAACATCATGTGTTAACACAATCTTTGCGTTTTGTAACGCATTAAATAATTTTTCATGCAAACATTAACAAGAGCTTCAAAGAGCAAGATAGAAATTCATAATGGAATCGTATTACTATCTTATCACAATCTCAAAAAATACAACGTTGAATAGAAAATATTCCTTTTTATATTATTTGTTTGCTGAAAACAAACATTTTTATGTACATTTTCTCATTACGAGAATCAAAGATCTTTTAGGTTCTAAAAACTATATGAATATAAAAATTCATGATTATATATCATCTGCATTTAAAATTTTTGATACATTATGTATTTTGCTAAAACAATATTACAATATCAAATTTGAATAAAGTTGATAAATACCTTAAATATAGAGAATATTCTAAAAATAAGTGAACTCACTTTATTGCACTTATAAAAATCACATAAATATGACTCTGTAAGTGTATTCTTTCTGGATTGCAAACACTAAAAATTGGATAATTATTCCGATTAAGTTACATTTCATCGATTCTTCTGTCGCTGAAATATATTGTAGAGGAGATTTTTTTGAGCAAATCTCCAAGAACCATGTGAGAGACGGCATTGCAAAGATATAACAAATTAAATTTCGAAAGTTTTATGCTTTTTCCTAGCTATAACAGATTGATGTTTGCGGTTCGAACCTTGTGTCATTTTTCAATCATCACGTGTGGACGGAAGAAGCTCCGCCCCTTCCCCTGCACCCCCACACGCTCACGTGTGAACGGGAAAGAAACACGCCCTTTTTTCTGCACCCCCACCCGTCCACGCATGGTGATTGTAAACAAAGTTTTTACAGCGTGCACAAATTTCATTGCTCCTAATATCAACTTGCAATACGTAGGAAAAAGTATAAAAATTTCAACTTTTATTTTGTTCTCAACCAAAAGAGCGTCCGCCACTTGGTTTTTACAGGGCTTTTGCTAAAAAAAAAAACAAAACTTTCCCTGCAACAAATGTCAAAAAAATCGATGAAATGTAACCTAATCTGAAAAATTACCAAAAATTGTAATATTAACAGAAAGACTGCAACATCTAAATAAACCATCATGCATATAAATATTATGCAATAACAACGTCAAATAATTACATATACTTGATAATTTATTCTGATATAAGAATATATCTTTCTTAATGTCTAATCAACTTTCAATGTCTATAATCAGAAAGAATATTGTTATTCATATTTATATGATTTTTTTTCTATCAAGTGATCAGTGGAACACACTGCTAAAGTTTGGTAGAATTCTGTTAAACCCTTTATATATGATGTACCATCAACGCCAAAAAAATTAAAACACTTTTTCTTAAGATTTTAAAGACTTCTCTTATGATTTTGAAAACACATCCAATATTCAATAACAAAATTTCTTTTTTAGAAATGACAGTTAGTGCAACAGATATGTCCTTAAAAAATAAATTCTCCTATTGAATATTAGATATGCACAAATAATCACTGAAAAAAATCTTAATTATTTTGACACCAACTATACTAACACAAAAATCAAATCTTCTAAAATATAATATGGAATCATATGTATACCGATGTAATATAAAAATAGAGTATTGCAAAATATCATGTAGAAGTAAATATGATAATATAATTTAAATGATAGTCCATATTAGATCATTTTAATTATAAAGTATAAAACACATTATTTTAATTATGTGCATATATCACATAATGTGATTCATACATTATTATTAAAATGATCTATATATACATATGTATGTACAATGCTTACTGTATATTTTATAGCACTTTTGTACCTTTAAACATAGCTCTTTCCGTTTTCAGATTCCATTCAGTAACGCAATAAAAGCTCAACAAAATGATCGATGAGAACACAAGCCATAATTATACAGGATATGTCGAACGTGTGACAAATCTGACACACAAAAACACAACTGTCTCTACAGTATACAATAGAATAATAATGTAGTATGTATTACATATATTTCAATTATAAATAGAATCAAATTAACAATAAAATTGCAAATGTTCGAACAATTATTGTAAATTCTGTAAAAATATCCTTTCAGATATCTCAAATAATTCAAGAATTAAATTGTTCAAGTATGAGAATATAAGAGAAAGATATTTATAGATTTCGTACCATTTCAGATATGTGCATTTGAGTGCAATGTATTTATATGTATAAATATTGAACAATATAAGACATTTGTGATTTACATGTACAAGACGTTAATGAAAGGTCAGTTTAAAAAACAGAGTAAAGAATTTTGAAATTGTAAGAACCTTTAAAAAAAATTTTACTTAAAGAATGTACTAAAGGCAAGGAGGTGTGACTCTGATTAAAAATAAATACTTCATTTCCATATTGGACGACGATAAAAGGGTTAGGATTAAGTTACGTTAGGGTTAGGTTTGGTCAAGAACATCAATATAGAATTTATTGATTTTCTATATCAACACTGGCTCGTACAAAGCAAGGGTGTCACAGAATTATTAAATATTTTGTTTGCTTTTGTTCACAATAAACATTATAAAAATATAATATAATTTTAGTTCACTTTCGTTAGGAAACAAAATCAAATAAAAAATATGTTCGTGTGATAAATTGTCTTGACAGTTTTATTGCAAAAAATATTGTCTCTAAAAAAAGCATGATTAAAAACAGAAGTGAAAAGCTACAAATAATTTCGCTAAGTGTCAATGTCAATTTGGATATCATAGACGTGATCTTTAAACGATCTTTATGTTTAATCGCAGATATACGAAGTGTGATCATCGGCATTCTTCTCGTGTTCCAAAAATTGAACTCAATCGAAATCATTTTGATTTTGATTACTGATTATGAACATTCTGAGACACCCCATGTAAGAGCGCAGAACATAACGCCATGGACGGAATTCGTTCGAGTGCTCAAACCTGAGCCCAATATTTTACTAAGACAATAAAAAACGTATTTTGCTACTCACAACTGCGTAAATTTGAAAGGCCTTGCTTACACGGCAGTGTATATTATGTTTACTAATCGAGCCGACTGTATTTGCACCAACCCGCACCAGCCTACACAGCCATCACCACTGATCAACCACTGATAGTCAGATCAACTGATTGCAATTCACAATTAGTGACAGCTGTGTTCAGAAAGCGCACAATTGTACAATTGTTGTATAATGGTGGATTCATTTGATATCGAAAATTTACTGACCATCGATTGGTCAATACTTCTTCGAGGCATAAAGAAAAGGAAAACATTTCATGCCAACTGAATAACAAAAATGCACCAAGTTGGGTACGGACAGAGAGAAACCAGGTTTCTCTCTGGTACGGAGAAATTCAAAAGTTGGCAACAATAGGTGTTTGATGATTTCGTCTGACGTGTAAGCAAGTTGCAGCAAACTGCATCATCAGTAGGTTAGGTTAAAATACTGTATCGTGTCGGAAAGTTTTTTTTCTCATTAAAATATTGTCAAATCATGCTCGATCTCTTCACAATATTTAGTAAGGGTGGCATAGTGCTCTGGTGCTTTCAGAGCACATCACAAATTTTTGCACCCAGTGTCAATGCCCTGATAAGAAGTGTCATATTGCAGGTAAATTAAAAAACCCACTTTTTTTGACAGATCGATCTGTCTGTCAACCTTTGACCTCGAACTGTTTGACGCATTTCTTCAAGCTCGTTCAATTATTTAATTGTTTTCTCGATTAATTGTTTATTTTTAAAATATCACAGAATTTCACAGATTTCTAACATTTTAAAACTTTGCCATTATTTTAAAATAAAATGTATAAAAAATAAATATTATTTGACATCAAAACTATATATTAAAATATATAAATATTAATTTAAAGTTACAAATATATAAAAATAGTGTAAGGACTAAATTAAATGTACCATATGGTTGATCAAATTAACGTCATTGTTTGACAGATTTTCTATTTACACTTGTAAAATAAAAATTAATTTATATTAATTTATATTGATTATATTGCAAAAAATTGGTACCATTTTTTATTTTGATGTTATACAATATAACTAATGAATGAGCAAAAGTTTTAATTCATTAAATTAATTAAATGTAATTTTGATTTGTAAGAAGTAAGTATATCATCAAATAAGTTCTTTTCATTATTTTCAGTGTTAATGAAAAATAGAACTCTTTACAGAAGTCAATTTTTTTTAAATTAAAATGACTTAAGTAGAAATTTTTGCAATTTTATTAGTTTAAGTTATAAATTTTTAATTTAATAAAATCTTAAATTATTAATTATATAAACAATAAAGTTTTATATATAATAAATATTTGTCAGATAGTTTAGCTATAACTTTAGCAAAAATAAAATTTTTCAAGAAAGTTTCTTTCATAGGAACGTACAGGGAATCACAGTTTCGAGCATGATTCTTTGCGATTGCAATATAAACTCGACAACGAGTTTGAATTAATATTTGTGGTGGCATATCAAAAAATACTACAGTTATCTTATGTGGATAAATTCTTGAACGACATCCATTTAGAATTCAGGGATCGTTTCAAGAATGAATTGGAAAATTCGAATTGGTTTAGCAACTTTGAATTCGAGCAGACTTATAATCTTGTGCTTGAACGGGCCGAACAATGGTCTCGCACGCAGGCCAAAATGCCGAAGCAAATGCGTACCTTTGACGAAAGTCAGAAGTCTAAAAAGACTGTTGCTAGTATGATTGAAAGAAAGGATGATAAAGAAGATAAGAAATCAGGTATGATTATAATTAATACAATGTAACAATTGAGGAATTGGATGCAATAACGTTATGAATAGCTTTACTTATTATTGAAAAAAAAACATAACATAATAAAATTTGAATAATTTTGAAAGAAAAGAATATGAGGTGAACAGATGCGTAATTCTATCATATTTCAATAATTTTGTATATTACAATTTCCTTTTTTAGTTATTTAATAATATAATATTGCACTTATAGTTTACGTACACTGTAAAATAGCACACTGTAAAATAGCAAATTTGAATAATATTTAATATAAAATTATAAGGCATTTTCACTTAAGTAATAATGCTTTTTCTTCTTTGGGTAATACTAACGAAAAATTGGAATTTTCTTCTTCGCTTCTAGGTAAAAAGAAGAAAGCAATAAATTCTAATGGGGATTATCATAGTAAGTAAAGTTTATGGAATCTTTCTATGCTGGTGTATCATTGCATGAAACTACGCACTATTGCATGTTCATAATAAATGCTATTCACAGGCATTTTGTAGTATTTTTTTGAAAACAATACCTTATATAAAAAAATTTGATTACATATTTTTCAAATATAAGATTGATCATTCTTCTGGTTGTACTATTAATAACAAATCACTTTATATAATTGCTCAAATATTTCTAATCTATTAATTTTTTATCGAACATTTTACATTAAATTGAGAAACGTAACTATTTTTTTGAATTAGTTGGAAATTATATTTTTTAAACATTTTTTGTGATATTTTGGTATTGCAGCAAAAATTCAAGAAATTCCAAAGCAAGAGCTACCAAAACAGCAAGTGGAACATAATGGAGAACTTGACGAAGAGATACTGATTGCCAATCGCATGAAACTTGCTCAGAAAATGTCAGGGCAAAAGAAAAAAGCTGACAAGCAGTAAGCGTGTGTTATTTTAATAAGAAACTAGAAAATGTCAATAATGAAATATCGAATAGACATTATCAAACGTTTAAATACAAAAAATTATATTACTTCGATTTTATCTCATAAAAAAATAATTCGAAGACAAATGAAAATTGAATTATGAGTACATCTATTATTAATATTTGGATATTTTTTATAGTTTTATATTTAGAAATTTATTATTATTATTGAAGTTATATAGATAAAACATGTAATGATAAATATTATCTTAGGAAGAGTCCTAAGCCTGAGAAAGCCGGCAAAAAACCACGCATCTGGGAATTGGGTGGAACAACCAAAGATCTCGCTACTCTGGAGCGAACCAAAGATAAACCAGAAGAGAGCGGTGATTATGTAGCAGCCGATACAGCTGTAATGTCTTTTCTTTTTTCTATTTACTTTAAATTCATTTATTTCTTGTTTTACTTTGATAGTGCAAGAGTTTCACGAATTTGATTAGTCTAATTTGGTTAATCAAATTGTTTTTTAGATAAAATAAATTGATTCTTAACTAGTAAAATTTAAAGTCTCTAATATTCGCTTGTTATATATACTTTTATTACTTTATGTAGCTAGTTGGACAGATGAAAGGTGGCATACGCGATCTCGAAGTGAATAGCGATTCTGAGGACGACTCCGATCAGGAGATGGAGTATTCCAAGCCACAAGTGCAGAAGAAGACTAGTATGTTCTCTATGTTTAAAAGCCTAGTTGGTAGCAAATCTCTAAAGCACGAAGACATGTTGCCGGTTTTGGAGAAACTGAAGGACCATTTGATCACTAAAAATGTCGCCGCTGACATATCTCAGAAATTGTGCGATTCTGTTGGCACAAAGCTGGAAGGAAAGGTGCTTGGCACCTTCGACAGCGTGGCTAGCACCGTAAAGGCCACTTTGACAGACGCCTTAGTGCAGATACTGTCACCTAAAAGGAGAATCGACATTTTGCGTGATGCTTTAGAAGCGAAGAAGAGTATTAGACCTTATGTTATGACGTTTTGCGGTGTCAATGGGGTTGGCAAGTCGACAAATCTTGCGAAGATTTGCTTCTGGCTGATAGAGAATAATTTCCGCGTGTTGATTGCCGCCTGCGATACATTCAGGTAAATTGATATACTCATATATAATAAAAAGCATGCAAATATGACACATTAAACTATTTTGAAATTTGTAATTTTAGAGAAAAAATTTTAAAAAATTACATAAAAATATTATATAGAATTCCAGAAACTTAATGTATATTATTTTAAGCCAATAAACAATTAATTTATATTAATAGTAATAATAATAATGATGTAACTTATTAGAGCTGGAGCAGTCGAGCAGCTGAGAACACACATGCGACACTTGAACGCCTTGCATCCACCAGAGAAGCATGGGAATCAAACAATGGTGCAATTATACGAGAAGGGTTACGGCAAGGATGCCGCGGGCATCGCCATGGAGGCGATTCGTTTCGCCAAGGATTCCCGATTTGATATTGTCTTGGTCGACACTGCCGGTAGAATGCAAGATAATGAACCGCTGATGCGAGCCTTGGCAAAACTAATAAAGGTGAACGAACCGGATTTGGTATTGTTTGTTGGAGAAGCTCTTGTTGGCAATGAAGCTGTGGATCAGCTGGTGAAATTCAATCAGGCTTTAGCTGACTACAGTCAGTCTGCGAATCCTCATATTATCGATGGTATCGTCCTAACGAAGTTTGATACAATCGATGATAAGGTAAAGTTTTTCTTCTTTATGTGACATTTTTTTGTCTTGTCTTGTCATCTTTTAATTTTAGTACTTATAATTTTACACATAAATTTAATATATAATAAAGTATCATATATAGATATAATAAATATACATTTATTAATATATAATTTTTTATCTAACTTTTACAGGTTGGTGCAGCCATCACAATGACATACATCACTGGTCAACCTATTGTTTTTGTTGGAACTGGCCAAACTTACACAGATCTAAAGTCATTGAATGCCAAAGCTGTGGTGCACGCTTTGATGAAATAAATATTCCAAGAAATGATAATAAATCTTTCATGATATCCTGATTATATTATGTGTAGTTTATTCAAGCTTACACAATGACCGATTTTAACAAAATAATTTCTACAAAACAAGCAAGTAATACGAGTTAATTTTAGCAAATTTCAACTGTTAGAACGGAGAATGCTTAATTGCGTCCTCCAATTTTTTCAATGGTCTGAGGACACCCAATCACGTCTTCCAATCTCAACTATAACATAATCAATATGTGCACTCAATAAGGAAGGAGAAAGTTCGTTTTGTGCATCGACTATCTTAAACTGATACAAATTGAACTAATCAGATGTTATCAAAGGCAGGGTACAATTACATTGTACCAAGAATAGCACAATTGTTATATCTTGACTCCAAAATGTGGTGTCTGAGTAAGTAATTTTTTACAAATTGCAATAAACTTGTACTATACACTACACAAATGACATACAAATACCATCTTTTTGGTAATCTGCTGCGATTTATGCATAAATTTAAGATACTTAAAATTGTAGTCGTCAAGTAATTAGCAGCAGGATGGTAGAATACGAAAATCAAACTGATAATTTGGAGTATGCAAAATACGAAGAAAAATGAAGAGAATAATGGTGGTGGCACATCTAAAATATAAATGAGATAAATAAAATATGAAAAAAAATATATATAAGAAAATCATGTTTTATATTTTATTATATTATACAATTTATTACGATCTCCCCAAAAATAAAAAAAAACGTTTAATTTTTATCAAGATGAACAAGTAGTATCGAAGCGATTTTGAGCTTGATCTTTTGATTTTTGAATGCCGCTCTGCACAGAGTAGTTTCTGAACGCACCCAGTGCTGGCAAATACCGACTACCGACATCTTACGTTCGTGATTCGAGATTGTGCGATACATATATTATATAATTTCGTTCACTTATCGGGATTAGGGATTGATCTAAAACTGTAAGTAATTTAGAAATATAATTAAGTATAAGATTAAACAAGAAAGCAAATGTGTTATAATTTGGTATCGTGCTGTGCATTAATTTCTGAAGATAAATAGGTTATATTGTTACGTGTCACTTTGAAGGTTGGAGTTATGACATACAAATCGTACCGTTTCAAATGTAAATTTCCAATTTATTATATTAATAGTGTTACGTGCAATTTATATATATGAAATATTTGTTTATATTTTATCTGAATATATAACGAAAAGAAACTTTTATGTTATTTTTGTAAGTTATCGATAGATAACCTATACATGTAATCACGTTTGACACTAAGCACATTTACGCTTACTTTGTGATTTTTTCATCAATTATTAATGTTTAAACTGATTTATTATGATTTCTATTATCATCTACACTATCAGATTCTAATAATTTAATTAAAATATCTTTGTTACAGAATCAACATGTCTGAATCTGGATCATATCGACCTATGAAATATCCATATACTTTATCCGCAAAGGTTGCTCAGTTTCCATTCAGATATTATGTGAACCATAGTTGGATGTTTAAGTATTGGCTCATCGGTATAGGAATATCACTACCTCTGTTTTACAAAATACAAAAGTTATGTAAGTGTTGCAATTTGTTTTCATATGCTGAGTGAAAGGTATATGTATAATTTATTATCTCCAATTTCAGCATATTCTCCTGAGAATGTTAAGAAATGGAAGAAAACTCATCACGATATGTTCACTGGCGCTGATCATCATTAAAGTAAAATTACAATTGTTAGACAACTGTTAACATGTAAGATAATCTGTAATCCATCACATAATGGATAAATAAATTTGATCCGTAATCAAATTATGTAGAGATGATTGAGGAGAATAGATTGTTTAAAAAAAAACTTATTTCAAGTATTTTAATAATTGCAGTTTAAAGTAAATCGATTTTAATGGTAAACAGAAGTTACAAGCCGCCGATCGATCGACACATTTGTGGATCTTTTGCGACAGGGTCAGCTCTGCCTTTATCGATGTGAGCTTTAAAAGAGCAATCCGTTGAAAGTTCCGAACTGTGCACACGGCGTGCGACGCATATCAGTCGTGAGAGTTTAAATTTAATTTACGTGTGACGCACCATGCACGCGCAAACTTTCAGGACGATTCCGGCGCAATCTTCTGCGTTCATTATCATAATACTGTATCATTATATTATCGCAGAAACGTTCAACATTTAATCCGCGAAACGTGTTTGCATTTTGCATTTAAATATCACTAACACTAACTAATCTGGACTGCTTTATCATAGTTTACAAAAAAACTCTTGTTCTACTGTTTTCAAAATATTTTTAATTATTTCAAAACAAGTCAAAAATAGAACTTTATACATTTGTTCTTTCAAAACTACTTTTCAGTGTAAAAATTTATTTTATCTCAAATTTTTTCAGAGATTTGCAAGAGAAAATTTCAAAAGTATTTGTGTAAAAAATACAATGACGATAACAAATATAAAAAAGCGGATGAACTAGGAAAATGATTAATCTTAAATTTAAAAATCTGTTTGAAGCTCTATATTACCAAAATAATCATAAAAAATATACATGACTAAAAAGAACTTTTTTTTATATGAATGCTTTGTACAAGTTCATTAATATTTCATAACTTGTTTAAATTTAGTTTGAAATTGTAAAACGGTAAAAAAAACAGCAGACGAAAAATAAGTACTATTGACAGTGAACAGAAATTTTCTAAAAAATAATGCGAAGATAACAATTTTTGCAGTTGACAATAGTTATAAAACACGTAGTATAAAAGTATCCAATTTTATTGTCAAGATCTACAAACAAATTTGTGAATAACGTCTTATATCTCTTATGAGTTTTCCGAAAGCTATCCTCGTATTCTATGATAAAAATTTGCGCATAGATTATCCAGAGAAAAACAAAATTTGCATAATGTAATTCACCATACAGTTAACGTTGCTTAATTTAACTACAGCGAAGAGTATATATGCTGTTGACTCTATGCGAATAATATTAAAATAATAATAATAAATAATTGTCAATGCGAGAATATATTGAGAATCTTTTCTTGTTTACACTTATAGAGAAAATAGTTATTACTCTTGTACTGATCAAAGCAAGTGGAACTAATTAATTGTATATGTTCGTTTTAAAATGTTCTATACGTGCGATATCTAAAAGTATGCGTATGCATTCCTGCAAATAATACTGAGTACATCTTTATTACAAGAAGCCTCGAACAAATCGGCTCAAAGAAAAACAATAAATCTTCCATCGTGTAGAAAAAAATTTTTGCAAAAATAAACCTTTCAGAGAGTTGTACTATCCCTTGAATTATCGACACAATTTCTTATTACTCACTGTAGAAAGAATCAGTACACAATTTACAAAACGTCCCAAGAACTACATGTGGAATCCGCTTACCACTCGGTATCGATTAAGTGAGTCCGTGTGCTGTGTTTAAAATATATAAAATTTATGAGAGCAGCACACAGATTTCAATCTCACGAGTACACTGCGCTACACTGAGATATATGTACTCCGCTTCTATCTTTTCTTCTGCGCCTCCTGTTCGTCGTCGCTATCTGACGCGCTATTTTCTTCAACATCGTCATCCAACCGTAATCTCTTAGTCTCGGGTTCTTGAAACAATTCTTCGTCGAAGTTCAAGCCTAATTCTTTGCAGCGTTTCTCGAAGTATTTGAATAACCGCATACCTGCCCTGTACACGTAACTATTTTTAACAAAGCATAGCCTCACTTCTGTCACATATATTTCTAAACTGGTTCGGAGGCCAAAGATCATTCGTATCAACAACAGCGAAGCCTGATTTGTAATATACTAAAAGTTACAGAGACAATTCGAAGTGTTTGTAAATTTTGCAAGTGAGTATGAAAAAAGCAATTCCTTCCATTGAGCAATCCATAAAATGGTTAATTAATTAATCACAATTAATCGTCTAATCTATCGCGAGTAGACTAATATTTTGCATATTTTTAATGATAATGCTTCATTTTATCTAGCTATAATTCTAAATACTACTGTAAATTTATATTCGGCATATTTCTCTATCAATCTAATCGGAATCACATCTAAATAGTTAATTAAAAAATTTGTACATATAATGAATCAAAGTTAGCATACAGATGAGAAATACCGAGAAATAACAAAGATGCCAATTATTTTATTGTTAGTAGTAATTATGTGACGTTAATTAAAAATATATGCATATAATTATTGTTAATAATATAGGTGAAACACACATAAATGAATACTGCGTATTAGTCTTATAATCTCTGGCATCCGAACTTGCATAAAACAAACAAAAATGGCGTTAATACGTACTTATACACGGAACTATGTTCCTTGTTGTACATCCTGCAATTTTCGAAAACCAACTGGCAATCACCGAAGAATTTATCCAGCGCATCGTAGTCGCCGTTACTGAGCTTAGTCTTAATCGTTCCGAAGTCCATCGGATTAGAAATGATATCGTGATAATCTGGAACCTCATCCTTCGTAACGGGCGACATGAACGGCCACGAATCTCTGTGGTGCCTAATGTCGTTCAATAAATCTTGTAATTTAATCATAGATCCTTTCACGGAATTCTTGTCTTCCTCGTGTTCGATTTCGGCAGCTCGCTTCGTCGCACGTCTCGTTTGTCTGGGTTCAGTATCATCCGATGCGCTACTATCTGCACATTCAATATTATCTTGTTTAGTTAGCGTACTACATTTTTATGTTAGCTTCAAAATTCAAGTTAGATTTACAGATACACTAAAAGAAATAATGTTTCATTGCTATAGTTAATGTTGCGTGATACGCACATGAGTTAGCAATAGCAGATTTCATTGCCAAAGCAATAAGTTGAGATGTAAATCAAGTGTTCACAGGAATGTAATGTTACACCGCTATGACTGACTATCTACTTATGACAAATCAATTTCATGATTTATGCTATACATGATTTATGATAATATCCTAAAAACTTAGATAGAACTCGAATGTAAAACTATGAAAAGTTTAGATGAACAGACCCATCATTTGTTTAACATGCGATGCTTTCAAACAAATAAAAAGACGGAAAAAAAAAGATTGGCCATGAGGATGCTATGTGTACACACAGTGAGAACAAACAGTTACAATACAGACCGTCCCAGTCTGTAGATTCTGTAGTGAGGAGGCTTTTGGCAAAGCCATGGATGCGAGAGCGTGCTGCTGCTGCGCACAGCCTCTCCTTGTCTCTTTCCCTTTCGCGCCCCCTCACTATCAACATAATTTCAACGCTAAGAAACTTTCTTATAATAATCTTATAAAGACTTTGTCTATCGCTATGTCAATCTACTGTGAGTGTAGAAATTTTGTTTAAATAATAACAGGAGAAATTCTCGCCAGTCTAGCCTTCCGTTATCATCTCTCTCTCTCTCTTCTAGTTTTCACTCTAGTCTTTACCTTTTGTAGCATTCTTTTTCTTATCCTTGCATTTAGAGCAAGACCATCTTCCTCTAGGCGCCCTCCACAGTGGCGGTTCTACGCATTCCAGATGATAACGATTTGGACATGTATCGCAGGCGATCAGTTTACCGTCACTTCTGCACGACACGCACAGGTATTCCGGTCGTATATTTCTGAAAAAATGAGAAAAGAACAAAAATAAGCAACAAAATTTTAAATCGAATCTTAATGTTACAAAACGACGACAACTTACACATCTTCCTCGCTTTCTTTATCATCGTCATCTTCTTGTTCGTTCTCGTCGTCGCTAGGAAGTACACCGCGCCTTGCGCGGTTGTGCCGCGTTTCTTTGGTCAATATTCCTTCGTCCTCGATTTCATCCTCAAATCTTTTCCGCTTTTCAGTTTTTTCCTTCGGTTTTATCTCCGGCGGTTTGCACGCTGTGCAGAACCAATCTCCCGCTGGTACAGCCTGCAAATAAACGAAATGCTAGATCAATCGACCACCGTCGCGTGTTAAGCGACTCTTAGCACGGCGAAGATATTAATTACAGTAAGCTTCGGCTTCAGACAATAAAGATGATGTCCTCTGTTGCATCCGTCGCAAAGCAGCATGTTCTCCGCGTCTCTGCGCCTTCGACATATGCGACACTGTGCGTTCAATGCACTTTTGTACCATGCCACACTATTGTGCAAAGTGCTCAAATGAACGAACAACTGCGACCAACTTGTCGATGCTAGAAGCGATTGCTCCCATCTCTCTCGTGCCTCCTCGCCCGACCATTTCTTATCCTTCTGATCGGGCCCCAATGGTCTCTGCAGATATCTCTGTTCTATAGCAAGGGACAATTGCAGAATAGCACAAGCCATCTGTTTGATAGTTGCCTGCTGCTTTTGCTCTGGCAACATTTCGTCTTCACCGGGCAGACCTAAGTACATTCCTGGATCCTTGTAAGTCTTTATGCTAATACTGCCGACTTCGGAGTCTGGGGTGCCGGGTCTACTATGCTTGGACTCGCTCTTTATCTTGTCCGTTATAATATTAGCGGCTGTGTCTATATCGATCTCAGTACCGGCAGATATCAATTTGTCGCATTGTTTGTCGTAACTTCTCTTATTGATCGCGTCTCTCCAGGTCGCGCGATCGGTAATCTTCAAGTGTCCCAAACAACCAGCGTTGATCTTATCTTCGAAGTCCAGAATATGATCTCTCAGAGTCATTTCCATCACTTCGTCGATCGGCATGCCGGGAGGAAAGTTCAAGTTTGCATTCTCGTATTTGTTCTTCTTATTTGTCTTATTTTGCGCTTTACTGGAATCTGGAAACTATGCGCGAATACCCACTTATTTTTCGCTCTTTGACGTGTAATTATAGAAAATTTGTGTACAAGTAAGATATATAAAGTTAAACATAAAAAATATCTACTTACAACATCGGGATTTAATTTGTGGTTAGGGCATTCATTGATAACAAGGAGCAAGCTGTCCATCTCTTGTACGAGATTGTTTCTAAGTTCGCTTTCCCTGATGCCCCTTGTGCTTAAACTGTTTATTAATGCTTGAATATCCTCTTGGTTTCCGTAAAAACTCCATCTAATTGTTGATCTCTCGCAATGAACAGGGCAGTCTTTATCTCCCGTACACAATAGCAAGTTCCTTTTAATGTTCATGAGATCCTGCTTAAATTCTTTTCGAGGACTTGTTTCCTTTCGTGGTGATTTGACGCCATTTTTATCCGAAGACAGAAGTTTCTTGGGCGATTTTTTTGATTTTTTGAAACTGTTTTCCTTGTCGCTAAACTCGTCCTCAAATTTATTTTTTAGATATGCATATGTTGCCTCCTTATCTTGCAACTCTGGATGGTGCGGAGTGCCCTCTGGAAGACAGTTTCCAGGCCAGCGTTCATCATTTTCTACAAATACTCCTATAACAAACAAGATCGAGATTGATCAATGACAATTTTTACGTAAAAAATTGGATATTGCATATTAATATATTAACATTATAAATATTTTTAAAAATCTTGCAAAAATAATATCAAACAACTTGCACGAACTAAAAATGAAAAATTTCATACACAAGCTTTTAACTTTTTCATCACTATACTCTTATAAAAATATTATATTCAATAAATTTCAATAGTGTATTTAATATTTGTATGTATGCATACGATTGTGGACTTTAATTTCATAAAAAAAATACTTACAAATGTGTTGCCTAATGTCACAAATTCATACAAATATTTTTAAAATCAGAAAATTATTTAAAATGGAAAAAGATGACAAATAATTTAACGTTTCAGAGAAAATCAGTATAATATTAAATTTATTATAAAATCTATATATTCGATTAGAGCTATAAAATCAAGATATGAAATATAATGCAGAAAAAAATACAAATTTCTCATTTCCAATTGTGAGCATTTAACATTTTTTAAAAATAAGAATGTAATAAAAGCACCTGGTATCGATGTAAATCTCCAATATCTACGGTGAGCTCTATCTGCGCCCAAATAGAGCATCATTGTGTCATCCTTTACAGCTTGCTGCAGCTCCTTTAGCTTGTTTTCATATTCTTCTCTTTTCCTTTCTTCGTCATTACCACGCGTGATCTTTTTCGGCTTTGGCTCCTCTTCTTCGACTTTTCCTTCCTTCTCACGCTCCCGCATTTTTTCTTTTTCTTCCTTCTCCTTCTTCTGTTCAGCAATCATAAACAGCTTCAATTCTCTCTTTGCTTGATGTAATTTATCATACCGCTCCTCAATTGCGTCACGTATCGAGGCAAATGTAAGTAACTGATTGATTAGACATATGACAATCTTTATTTTGTCATCCAAATTAAGCTCGCAAACATTTCGGTGTCCCAAGAATCGTAACATGTAACTCTCATTTGTTCTTAAAAGAAGCGCTGGCTCATCAATGTTTGTATAGCCACCTATAACGGATAATTATATTTATATAAAACATATTTAATATTAAAATAAATTAATATTATATCATAATTAAAATTATATCACACCTTTCTGAGAATATCGCCATTTAGAAGCGGCTTCACTTATACGTCCTCCAGAGCTTAAAAGATGTTGCCTTAAAATTTCACTGAGGGTTACGTGATCTAACGTAAGTTCTGATAACTTGCATCCCTGATAAGTCGCGCACCATCTAGAAGCCATCGTAGCGAGTTTGATAGCTTTTGTCATTGATGATGCATCTTCGTAACGACTAATGTCATCCAGCGAAGTAGATGTTTCTGCATTAACTTCATTGTCCTCTCCCGCTTGATATTTAAATACATTTGATAATAGCAGTTGTAAAAGATCACTCCAAGGACCGGATGCTTCTTCGGTTAATAACGCCTTTTCCAATAATTCTAAATTGAACCCTCCCGGAAAATACACAGACACTTCCAATTCTTCGTTAAAAAATTGAAGAAATTCCGATATCATAGCAAAATCTCCAAATTTCTCATTTGGTATGCTGCATTTAATAACGGTGGGCTCAGGAATGAGGCATAGATCTTCGCACTCGAGATCTTCTCTTGGTTTGTTCCATTGTCTCACGTATGCAGCCAAAGCCGCCAACTTCTGCTTTTTCTCCTTTTTATGCTCACTGTTCAGCGCCCTTTCTTCTTTACGCTTTGCTTTCTCCTCCAAAGCTTTCGCTTTAAGTTCTTCTCTATGCTTGCCATTCATTCTATTAATAAAAAGTTAAAAATATTTTTTTTAAATGTTAAACAAAAAATTGATAAAATCTTTATTCGAATAGATCTCACCTCGGTTTTCGATATTTCTTCGCCGCACTAGTGTTATTAACTTTTCCACTCTCGTTAACTTTTTTCAGAGGATCCATTTTCTCAAGTGATTTCTGCTTCGACACACCTGAAGTGAGATATTTGTCTATGGATTCCTGCTTATGTTTGACAGATTTTTTTACACGCACTGTAAAATCTGGCAATGTTCCAGCAAATATGGTGTCAAAACGTACTTTGCTAATTCCATACTTTTCCAAAACGTTTTCCTATAACATATGAAATAAGAATTAACGTTGTAAGAGCATTTAAATATTTTTAGGCAATCGTTGAATTCTGTACTGACTTTAACAATCCATATACCGCTACTATTTTGTTCACAAAGTTGACGAAGAAATATCTTGTTACGTTCTCTGCTGTAATGCTGCTTTCGTCGTCTGACCTGAGATGCTTCTACTATCATAATCTCACTGATATCAGTATCTCCAGAATCCAATTGTTCTACTTCGTAGCGAAATAATTTTGCCGGTGGATGGTAATAATGTTCTTGTAGACTTCTAAAAATAATTATAGAGTTGAATTCATGTGTAAAATAATGAATATAATATATAATAAATAAAATAAAATAATAAAATTAATTTATTTACCTGCCATTTTCATTCATGTATGCCTTAATTTGCTGTTCTGTGGGTATAATGACTTGAAGAACATGACAGTTACACCAAGAATCTTCTGTAAAACTAGCCTCTACCATTTCTCCTACAAAATAGCGATCTCTTGCAAATTGATAAACATCTTCAATCATCTCATTAAAAGAGGACCTAAATGTTTTACTAGCAAGGTATAGTATAGGAATTCTCAGCTGAAAAATGTTAAATGTTTTATAAAAGCATGTCCATCTGTGAATATATTCAATACAGATTGTGCAAAACTATACTGTACCTCCATTGGAAATTCCTTTAAACTCCTTTTTGCATTCTCTTCGCATTGTAAAGCTTCCTCAAATGTCATATTAGTCCTACCTGTGATACTGCACGACCATATAAGTGAGTTACACAAGATAATTCGCTCACAAAATTCACTGTAATATACAAAACATTTGTTACACAAGTAATCAAATTTACCATGTATATAAAATAATTTATATATATATATATATATATATTCATTTACTTTACTTTTTATTATTTTACTAAATGTTTACACTGCCATGCCTTTAGAAAAAAATTAAAGAAATAAAAAATTAAAAAAGAGAATTAAATTCTATTTAATAAATGAAATAATTCTTGCTTTAATTTCTTGAGTAAAATTAAACTTATCTTCATTAATCAAATTTTTTAGTAATCTATAGATAAAGTTAATTGTTGACACATTTTAAACTGTTTAGTAATTTTTGCAACAAGACTGCGAATTTCTATGCCATCCAATTAGCTGATAATTGGCATATTTTTCACACAGCAATATATGTAAAGCAAGCTTGCAGCTATAATAAACAATTACATCTAATTATAATCACTATACAACATGAAGCACCGCTATACAAGTAATAAATAAGAATGACTGACGATTCAACAGGATTGATTCGCGGCATCTCGTTGTCGCGGACTTACTTGTAATTCTTGAATATCTCGTTCGTAACCTCGCAATGATACACTTCGTCGTCATCCCGAAAGTCTGACGAAACGTGAAGCCGCTGAAACGGCTGTTTGCGTAGTAGTGGCATTTCGACGGTGACACTGACAATGACAACCGTTACAACGACAACGGTTCCTTTTCGCAATGCGTTGCGTGAACTCGATACCGCAAACGGTGAAACAAACGCCCGCGAACGGCGAACGTTGCTCTTACGCGCGACACTTCGTGCAAGCCAAATGGCACGCACGATTATACGTACGTATAGCTCTCAATTGTGGGAATACACGCTAGGCCAGCACCGGGAAGGAAATTTAACGTCGAGCCGCGAGAAGACACGGCGACGCTAATCGGCGATTCAGTATCATCGCCCAATCCTGCCCGTTGTGGTGATCTCATAACAAAGCGCGACTTTACACGGCCGCTGACCGTCGTGGCTATGCACGCAACGGTAACGGCGTATATGCTAGTATATGCACCCTCCACACACCTGGCAGCCGTGTACCGCACGAACGGAAGCCAGCGGCGTGCAAACCGCGACCGCTGTTACCAACTTGACGAAATTCGCGCGCGAATCGGTATCGCAGACGCATACACGTACTTACCTGATTTGCACGGGCGATTGAAGAGCCTATCGATAAAAGTTTGCGCAACAATCAAGATAAATGTCCCAGTAATCGGATGTCAAATGTTAAATTAAAAAAAAAAAAAAACGCGGGCGATTAACCGTGTCGCGCGCTTTATCACTGTTGGCACCGTGTATCCGGTGTTGTGAAAGCGGCTAAATTTGGCGGGAAAAAACACGTTGGTTTTTTTAAAGAGTTCGCAGATATTTGCCGAAAACTAACATTTATTGACTATAGGTATTATTATAAATTATTTTATGTGATATGTTGGATTATAATAGCAGAGTTTTTGATAATATCTGAGAACAATCATAGAATTTTTAGCGCATTTGTACGTCAAGTAATGCGCTGCTTAAAAATAGAGATAACGACATCTCTTGTTAATCGAGTGAAATTTTTAGCGATTGGTGCACTGCATAATCGACATTGTTATAAAAGGTTTCAAATCGCAGATAGAGTCCCTAGAAATACAAATCTAGACAGATTGGTCCTATTTTTCATTGGACGTGCAACGCACAATGGCGGAACCAATTGCTGCGCATCATGCACAAAACCATAGACATAGAAATAAGGAGACAGAGCATAAAATCTTACTTTTGGCGAGGAGAGTGAAGTCAGTTCCGCAGGGAATATGTCACGTGATACTTTGGTGCCGCATTGGTGATTGGTTGTAGCATAAATGCGCAAAATTTAAAAATAAAACAGATAATTTGTTTACAATTATAAATATGACAAAATATTTTGAATAAAATAAAAAAACACAATATTTTATTTATAAATCAACATGCTAAAATGTTAATAATATACATATCATTGAGATATTAGAATTAAACAACTAAAAGTTATTAAATAATTTAAATCTATAGATATCAAAAATCTTTATTAATTTGTATATTTGAATATATTTTATTTGACAACAACGCAATAAATTTATAACAAAATTTTTCTTTTATCAATTTTATTGTTTATTATACGTACATTTATATAAATAATTTCGTAATATTTGTAGTTGTTCCGTTTCCGATAGATTGTTTTTTTTGAGTAAATCAAGAATTGCCTTCAAAGAGATAATCCATGATTTGCTTCGTCGAACCTTCTGTTGCAAAACTTTGATCTTTTTTAAATAAAACTTGTTTTTATCCTGCAGTTTTTTATAAAGATATACTTTCTCAAGAGAGTCATCTTCTCTCTGTGGAGACATACTTGTTGACTGATCTACAACTAAAAAATTTCAAATAATTTGTAAAACATTTTAATTTTAGAAAAAATGTATATATTAAAATTGTATATGTTATTAAAAGTAAAATAGTATAATATTAAAAATAAAATTGTATATATTATTAAATAAAGTTAAATATTTCTTACAATGACTGCTTCCAGAGATAGGAGATGTAGCTCTATCTATTTTAGAAGTTGTATAAAAATTTTTTGAAACATGTGCAACCACATTTCCTACTGCATCTACTGCAACGTGTTCTAAACAAGTAAACAAAAGATGTATGTATAAAGCGATAAACAAGTCAAACTACATAATCTTGTAAATCATATAATAAATCAGAATGGGGAAAGTTACTTTATAAA